CCAAAGCCTTGGTTTGAGCACCACGTGATTGAGCTAAGTGTTGTTTAAACTATGTTGATGCATTATGTTCTTCTTGTCTTTTTAATCTTTCATTATCTGGTTGTTATTGTGAAAATCACAACAGAATAGTTTTTAAAAGTATTTTGTCGAAACAACATTTCCTTGTTTGAGTAAATTTTCCAGTTTCCAATTCTGGTTTACCACTAATTCTTTGTTGAACATCTTGCAATCATTTCATAGTGTCTTATTCAAGTTTTCTAAATTGTTTTTTAGCCAAATTAAGTGTTCAAAAGTTATTTGACTCATTATATCTAAAATTGGTTGGTGGAGTTGCTTAATTTAACACATAATTGGATCTGGATAAGTGAATCTTAGAAACACTATTGTTTAGCATTAATCAGTTGTGATCACAAGTTCATTTCACTGATTTAAACATGTTCATGGTAAAGAATCTTGAGTTTTAACAGCCTTGTGTGTTTTCACTCACAAAACCGTTTTTTTAGATCTTTTGTTGATAACAAGTTGCTGGTTTAAATTGTTTATTTCTGAGGTCTGTATGCTACATCTATATTTCTTGAAACATGCAGGAAAAACTTTGTACATGTTTGATATCTAAAATAAACAATTCAAAAGCCACTTTTAAATCATTCTAAAAAGTTGAAAGACCAGTGCAAGCTCAATTCTAAAAAGGGGTGATCTTAAAAGAGTTTTAGAAGTCATAGATATGTCTTAGAATTTCGATTTCTTATTTTTTTTATGTTTTTCGTACTTCCAGCGTATTTAATCGATTACCATTATGATATAATCGATTATCCTGACTTGTAATCAAAAACTAATTTTGTTAAGATATAGGATAGGATAGATGGGATCTGGGATAGTACCGAACGACAACATAGGCAACCGAACGGTATCAACAAGAGACACTGAGCAGTAACAGGGGCATGTCGAATGGTTTGAACAGGGGAATATGACATTCATGGGGAGAAATTTCTATTTGACATCTTATGTCATGATCTTGTGCTACCTGGTACCCATTTGAGGGGGAGTTATATAAGGTTGTTAGATACCTTGTCATTTATCTATACTCTGGTATTTCATCATGTATTTGCCTCTCATTTTATAAAATTTCAAATTTTATAATATTTGAATTGCATCTTTCTTTTGTTGAGGGGGAGAATACTTTGAGGGGGAGTATACTTACTTTTTGCTTATGATCAAAAAAGGGGAGAAATACTTCTAGTGTAGTTAGTGCTAACCTGTTTGTAAGTTTAAATTTTGTGCAGATATTAAACAATGCTTTTAAACAGGGAATTTTTGATCATCATAAAAAAGGTGGAGATTGTTACCAATGAGGAGCATTGGTGTTTTGAAGTTAATAATTTTGATGATGTTGCAAAGCGAAGAATATGAAGACTCTTGTTGCATCAAGTTTAAAAGCATATCTGCATAATGATCAGCGAAGAAAAAGAACAAGTGTAAGATTCAGACCGAACGACAGATAAGTAGACAAAGACCGAACGGTAGCTATCAGTCAACGGGCGATATCAGTCAACGGGTGAATGCAGATGAAGACTGAACTGCTACAATCAGATGAAGGCCAAACACAGCTAAAGGCAGAACACTGTTCATGGCCGAACGCAACTAACAAGACCGAGCGGTAAGGACCGAACAGTAGACTTCATGACCTAGACCAAGCAGTCAGGACACGAGCATTCCCAAGCAGTCAGGACACGAGCGTTCCCAAGCAGTTAGGACATGAGCGTTATTGACCAACATAGGACTAAGCGGTAAAGTTATGAACAGGACCGAGCAGTGGAGGGCATGACCGAGAGCACGTAAGACATGTCGAGATATAACAGTTCGGACCGAGCAATGAAAGGCTGTGAAGAATCAAGCCGAACGCTGAAAAGTTGTAAGGAACCTAGACGAACGGCAAAAGGTGATAATGACTTGAGCCGGACACATTTGAAGCCCGAACACAAGTTGAAACACAAAAAGAACGACAGAAGGTCATGAAGGCTCAAACCGAATGGAAGAAGGCCATGAGAGCTTAAACCAAACGTTGGAAAGTTGTGAGGAACCGAGCCGAATGACAGAGGTGATAAGGGGTTGAACCGAACGACATGAGGATGTGTCGAATTAAACCGAGCGGCAGAGGGAGAAGAACTGGTGTCGAATAGTCGAAGAGTTAAATATCCTAACTGTTCCAAGTCTTGTAGATAATCGATTATCACTTACAATAATCGATTATCAGTGGCTGTTGTAATGCGTCTTTTCAGTTTCGAACTAGTAGACTATATATCTCTTTGCCAAACACTTTAGAAGACAAATTTACGAATTTGAGAATATAGTGAAATCTGAGGAAGTTCTCAAGTGCTAGTTCCTCCTCTTGTCAAGTCTTATGAATAGGAGAAGCTTGCGCTTTGTGTGTCAAAGGTCGGAGCGGTTCTCTTTAAGTTGGCAGAGTTGTTGCTTCCGGTTCGTTTGTTAGACAAGTTCTTCTGGTTCGTTTGTCGAATGAAGGTTTTTGCTGCACTCCTCCGGTTCATTTGTCGAAGGAAGGTGCTTTTGTTATTGTTATTTTCTATTCACTTTCATTGTAACTGTGAAAGTGTTTTAGTGAAAAGGTTAATCACTATTCATAGTGATTAACGATTGGACGTAGAATCTTTTGATTCGAACTAGGATAAAAATCATTTGTGTGATTTTTCTACTCCCTACATTCTTTACATTTTTTGCACATCAACTGTTTGATAAAACGTTTGAGAGAAAATTAAAGGAACCATGTTTTAAATTGACTGAACAAGCTCTTCACTTTTAAACAATTCGTATCGTACTCTGTTTTGATATTTCCACTGCGCAAAATCGGTATCGATTGTTTCAACAGATTAGGGAAACCATGTTTTCGGAAGCAAGTATTTTCAGTGTGACTAGTGTGGTGGCAAGGTGTGCATGTGACAGGAGTATGAATAGTGTGTTGAGAAGAAAGGGTTGAAACATAAGTACCACAAATTTGAGCAGTAACATGGTCGACCATAAGCTGTTGTTCTTGTTGAACAACTAGATAAAAAAGATTTATATGGGAGGATAGGTTCAAGCAAAAGAACATGAGATTTTATATTTGAAAAATGATCATCCAACCATGGAGGAGTTGCATAACACGATTTTCACGTTTCCTTTGTGAAATAAGAGATGAAACATTATAAAAACATTTTGGTTTGCAAGTGCAAGTTGGGTCTAGCCTAAAACTATCCATTTCATCCCAAAGAACCTGAAGCTTAATGAAGTACTCTATGATAGAAAGATCTTTTTGAGATAAAGTTGCAGCTTCCATCTACAAATTAGATATACGAGCAAGATCACCTTGTGAGAAACGACTTTTAAGATCATTTCAGATTTGGTTTAATCATTTTCGAGGTCCCTATTTAAGTAGAATCGTCTCAAATAGGTCCTTCAATTATATTTTTAACTCAATCAGGTCCCTATTTGTTTAAAATTGATTCAATTGCACCATTGTTGTTAATTTGAGTGAATGTTAAGAATGCACTCACGTGACATGCTGACTTTGCAAATCTAAACCATGTGACACACGGAGCAACCTCCCAAATTTATTGCTCAAGGGAGTCTTCTGGGTTGGTATTTCATCTTCTATGTCATCTTCGCAAATCATTAACAATTTGGTGTCACTCGAATGTAGAAAGAGATATTTTCACTCTTTATGGATTATATTAATAACAAACTTGATACATATGATTTGTATGCACTAGCTTGAGGGAGAGTGTTAGTATATTATCTTTGTTTTATATTTATTTTTTATCTTTAGTTAGTTTGTTATTATTTCTTATTTGTATTTTGGACTTAATCCATATTTCTTTTACTATAGATAAATAACCTTATGTGTATATTCAACATAAGGAAGACTACTTTCATAAATTTTCACCATATTCAACAATAACAAAATTATTTATATTAAAACACTTTTAATTATTAAAATAAGTCTTATTATTTTTAAACCACTATCTCTTCTAAAATTTCATTTTTTTGTTTTACATTTATAATTTTTAAGTTTTATTAACAAAAATTAATTCTTATTTATTTAATAAATAGTTAAACTATAACTAACAACATTTGAAATCCTTTAAACTAGTTTTAAACAACTTTTTTGTGTGTATTTTTTTATATTAATAATATATTTATTTTTTTAAAATTTAAAGATTAATTAAAAAATAATAAATATATTTAAATTTATAATTAAGTTTGAATAAATATTTTATATAATAAAAGGATAAATTAATTCTCTGCAAACACGTGATTACAAAATATGAGTAAGGTAAATTAATAATATTAAGTGACTAAAAACCCAATTTTTGAACACTGTTAGCATAATAAACATGGATAATTGAGTAAATTTTTCTAGTATCATTTTAAATTTATATTTATAGTAAATTTGTAACAATTTTACACTTTCTACTGATTTTTTAAAATATTTTAAATGTTCATTTTAAATTTTTATCACAAATAACTATAATGTAATATAATATTTGTCCTTTTATTTTATTTTTATTATTTTTTTATGTCAAACATTATTAATAATAACAATTTATTTTATAAATTAAATTAATTTTAATGTAATACATTATTTAAAAGCTGAAAACAAAAAAAAAAGAACACTTTTTATGAATTATTTAAATAAATTCTTTTTAGATTAAAGAAAAAACGAAAAAGCGGTTAGTATTTAGTTTTCCAAAAATCAAATTACGGCTGTTTGTCTTAAGTCATATTTCCATTACCTGAGACCAACCTTGTTTAAAAAAAATGAATGGTTGTTTTCACTGCTTCCATTCCACTTTACAGAGCTATTTCTCTGTGACACAGATAAGCGTGATTTCATTTATTAAATAAATAAGAAATTAACCTTCAAATTAGTTTCTAGATACCAATTAGACATTGTCATATCTAACATGGACCACAACAAATCTGAAGAAGGCACAGGTAGATGCTTCATTTCGGCAAAACTGAACAACATCTATATTCATCTATCATGTATATTTTTTCTACATGACTGGAACTCATTTTTCTTCCTTTTTTCTTTTGTAACAAATATACAACAACAACATCCCTTAGTTCCTTGTAACATTTTCAAAATTTCTAAATCACATGTTGGCTACTTTCACAGTGAAATATCCCCAGATAAATTGTTTTCACAAATCAGTTCCTTCACAAGAAATTGATCTCAAATCCTTCAGAACAATCTCAACAAGAAAGAAATCCACTCAAGAAGTTGTTGAGCTATGCAGGAGACTCAATCATGTCATAGCAATGCAGCAGTCCAGCGGAACATGATCCCTACTTTCAAACATTGAAGTACTTCAGAGCAGTTTGAACATCCTTATCCCCTCTGCCACTGCAGTTAACCACAACCTTAGTTCCATTTGGAAGGGTAGGGCAGAGTTTCTCTAAATATGCAAGAGCATGAGATGTCTCCAAAGCTGGAATAATACCTTCCAGCCGAGATAATCTCTTAAAGGCTGCAGATTACAGAACACCCCAACATGAGACACAGAAACAAGATACAAGGATTAAAGCAACTTCAGCTTCTGATCTTGGAAAATATAAGATAATAACTATATGCTAATAGCTCTACTGGCTCTATATAGCAGATCTGACGAACAAGGGAAACAATAAATTAAGAATTTTGTTATGGCATAATGAAAAGAATAGTTCACCAGGAATTGATACATAACAAATTAACAATGGCCACTATTAACATATTTGTTTTAGTTAAACCCTTATCCTGTGTATTTGAAGATTTGTAAAGAGTGGAAAATGACAAAATCAAAGAAAAGAAAACCATGACAAACCAAAATTTTAGTGTGACTAATTTTCTGCCAAAGATATATCACTATACATTTAACAAGGCAATAAATATACCTTCCAGTGCTTCTTCATCAGTAACACTATAGTATTCAGCACGCCCTACATCTTTCAAGAAACTATGCTCTGGTCCAACTCCAGGGTAGTCCAACCTATACAACGGAAAAGGAAAACTCGAATGAACAAAACATGGATAAAACAAAAGAAAAAAGTAGACAAATATTAACCAGATGAATTACCCTGCACTGATAGAGTGAGGCTCAATTATTTGCCCATCGTCATCCTGCAAAAGATAGCTCATAGCTCCATGCAAAACCCCAATTTCTCCTTTTGTTAATGTAGCTGCATGCTTACCACTTTCTAGGCCTAACCCTGCAGCCTCCACACCAATCAGTCTAACATCTTCATCATCGATAAATTCATGGAAAAGTCCCATAGCGTTTGAACCACCGCCAACACATGCTACCAGAATATCTGGCTTCCCACCCCACTTTTCCAATGCTTGCTTTCTTGTTTCTTTACCAATCACCGCTTGAAACTCTCTTACCATCATTGGATAGGGATGTGGCCCTGCAACAGAACCTAAAATATAATGTGTTGTCTCCACATTGGTCACCCAATCCCTTATAGCTTCTGATGTAGCATCCTTCAGTGTAGCAGTTCCTGAATGAACTTCTCTAACCTACATCACAAAATTACCTAATTAACGAGAAAAGTCATTGACAAACTAGTAGCTGCTCTATAAAAAACCAAATTTATGTTAAAAATTGACAAAAGTAGTATTAACTAGTAGGTTTAATACATCATTTGGTTCCGAGTTTTGGGGTTTTTGTTCAAAGTCGTCCTACATTTTAAAAAAGTTCAATTAGGCCCCATTTTTCCTTAAAAAATGTTCAAAATTGTCCTTTTGGCTTACGGCGTTAAAACATAACGGTGCAATTGTCACCGTGGTCAAAATTGGATAACCTGTGCACTTATTGATTGTGTGACAATGTGAAGTGAATTAACTTGGTGGAAATGTTTAAAGTTTAAGTTATTAGGTAAAAGAAAAGGGTTAGGGTTAGTGAGGGTTCGTGCAACTTCTTCCCTTTTTTGAGCATAGTGGTTGTGGGTAGATAGAAATGACTTCTTCCCAAAGTTGTTCTTCTTGTTCCAATACATGGTCGGAAAGAATTTCTCATTCCTCACATGGTGGTGGTTGAAGGGGAGGTGGGATAATCCCTCGTTGCAAATGTGGTGATTTTGTTGTAAGCAAAGGGGCCAAAACTCCACAGAATGCTGGCAGACAATTTTGGGGATGTCATCATTACAAGGTTTTATGAATACTCTTCTCACTTAATTTGGAATTTATTTGTTCATAGATTGCTGAGTTAGAACCAATTTTGGTGGCTTATTAGGTGAATAACAAGGTGGATCTTCAAGAGGGATGTACTGTAACTTTTTCAAATGGTGTAATGAAGAAAAGATTGACGAAAGAGATGGTGAAATTGTTAGAGAAAGGATAAAATTGTTAGTTGGAGTTGTGTGTGTTGTTATTGCGATGAACATTGTGACAATGTGGGTCTGTTTAGGTTGATGTTCGTAGGTGGGTCAATGTTTACATTAAGGTCTAGGTCAATGTTTATGTTCATGTAATGTGAAGGTGAAGCTCAATGTTTACGTTCAGGTGAAGGTGTTCATGTAATGTGAAGGTGAAACTCAATGTTTACTTTCTAGTGTTTATATGTAATGTTAAATTTAGTTTCCCCTTTGGTCAAAAAATGTGCAATGCAGTCCCCTTTTCAATTTAAAACTGTGTACTTTGGTCCCAAATGGATATCAACGAAAAACACATGAAAAATATCTGGCTTAGTTTCCACCATCTTTGTCCACCTCCACTCCACCATCCACCTCCTCTCCACCCTTACTTTCCACCTCCACTCCACCCTCTATTTCCACCTCAAACCCTAACCCCCAAATCCAACAAGAACATCAAGTAAGTAGGCTAGGGTTAGCAACACTTATCTCACGTATGTACGCTCTTCAAATTTCACCTTCAAGGAATCATCATGCCACAATGATCACCAGACCAGTTTCACTAGATTGTTAAACCCAAAAATGACGATAGGATTCTTAGATAAGGNTTTTTTGTGTGTATTTTTTTATATTAATAATATATTTATTTTTTTAAAATTTAAAGATTAATTAAAAAATAATAAATATATTTAAATTTATAATTAAGTTTGAATAAATATTTTATATAATAAAAGGATAAATTAATTCTCTGCAAACACGTGATTACAAAATATGAGTAAGGTAAATTAATAATATTAAGTGACTAAAAACCCAATTTTTGAACACTGTTAGCATAATAAACATGGATAATTGAGTAAATTTTTCTAGTATCATTTTAAATTTATATTTATAGTAAATTTGTAACAATTTTACACTTTCTACTGATTTTTTAAAATATTTTAAATGTTCATTTTAAATTTTTATCACAAATAACTATAATGTAATATAATATTTGTCCTTTTATTTTATTTTTATTATTTTTTTATGTCAAACATTATTAATAATAACAATTTATTTTATAAATTAAATTAATTTTAATGTAATACATTATTTAAAAGCTGAAAACAAAAAAAAAAGAACACTTTTTATGAATTATTTAAATAAATTCTTTTTAGATTAAAGAAAAAACGAAAAAGCGGTTAGTATTTAGTTTTCCAAAAATCAAATTACGGCTGTTTGTCTTAAGTCATATTTCCATTACCTGAGACCAACCTTGTTTAAAAAAAATGAATGGTTGTTTTCACTGCTTCCATTCCACTTTACAGAGCTATTTCTCTGTGACACAGATAAGCGTGATTTCATTTATTAAATAAATAAGAAATTAACCTTCAAATTAGTTTCTAGATACCAATTAGACAT